CCTAACCCTAACCCTAGCTGGGGACTTTGCCTAGGTTAGGGTTGGGGTTTAGACCATCTTCAAAAGACTTTCCAGAATCTCTCACTGATCTGGGAGGAAAATAGACTGCACTAAATCAAGATATTCATCGTAAACCACCTCACTATACCAAACAGAATGTGTCACTAATGGTAAATGTCTAATGGAAATGTATCACTAATAGAAAAATCACTTTCTTTGAAGCTTTTGATTTTAGGAGATGTAGACAAATGTCCATCATAGGACATTGCAGTGTCCTGTCCTGTATATTAATCTCGTCACAGGCCTGTATTTCACTTGTCTTTGATTGTTGTTTCATCTCATTTATCCTCTTTCTCTAATACATTGTCACTCAACACCTTTATGCTCTGTTGTTTAGGTTCTTTTTGTATCTTATAAGAGGTTAGTTAACACAAATTTGAGATATTCCAGGATGAAAAGAGAATACAGAAAGCACAACGTTTCATCTGTGTAGCCTTCGAAATGTTGTGTTTTCTCTTTTCTCTTTTCAGTATGTAATAAACCTCTTACTTGTTCCTTTGCACCCACCCACCTGAACAAATCAGAGATGAATATCATGACTTTCACAAAGTCTGCCATGTCCCCTTAAATATCTCAACAACAGGATGAATACTTCAACATGATTGGAGAAGGATTTGCATATAAAATTCCCAAGTAGCACCACTTACTGGAGAGGCAGGAATCTGGAAAACTGGGAGAAGGACAGTGATCCAGGCGAGGAGCTCCATGTCTAAAAGGATCTGAGCAGCAGTGAAGGTGCTGGGATGAGAGTTCTGTAGCAGTCTGGCTGGAGGTGTCCAGTGTCCCAGTCTTTTTTTTAAAGATGTTCTTTTTTTTTAAATGTATACTTACTGCATAACTAAGCTGGAGTGAGCTCCTTCCCATATTCAAGATCTGTTAGAAGCCACAACACATCTTCCTTGATAGATCCAGTAGACAATGGAATCGGAGCTGAACTGAAAAACATAGCATAATGAAGGAACAAGGACATTTGGCAGATGAGGACACAATCATGTGACATCCATAATTTTTCCACTGTAGTCCATGTAGATTTAAGGTCTTGGCATTCATGTCTATGAAAACTCAAGCACTCACAAGCATTTTACTAGAAAAATAATGAAGAATCTGAAATAGAAAATAAGTTCAACAAAATAGTGTTCCATATATTCAATTAATATATTTATATTTAAATATTTCCTATTTTAAAACTATACAGGACATCTCTCCTTAAAAGGCCATTAACGACTACAGCACCTTTACCAGATATCAAACTGGTTAACAGTATACTGTCCTTCCTGGTATAGCATGATATTTAATATTGATGCAATGCAACACTACAATTGTAACAAATATCAAACAACTACAATGATCCCAGGCTTCTTTTTGGCAGAATGAAGAATTCACCTATGAAACAAATGTTGGTATATAAAAGGCCATAGTAAACAAAGTAGAACATCATAATAGCCAACAAAGCACATTGATGTACTGTAGAGTGAGAAGGTTGTGCAATGTAACACCCTGATCTCCATGCCAATGTCCCAAGGACCTTGTTCCAGAGTAGAAAGAACCAAATGCTGCACATAGTAGTGGGGGAGGAAATAGAGGAAACTGTGGCAAAATTTACTCTCAATATCTGCCCTTCCATGTGCATATCACTGAGTGTGAGATTCCTCAGAAATGTTACTTGTGTCAATTACTAAACTGCCAACAAGAAGTGGCACAACATGGTCCTCTTTCAATCTTAGCCTTTCTTATTATTTGGACAGAGATCTTGTGAGCAAGGTGCAAGATACACCTAAGAGCCTTAATATCACTTTTCCTGGAGAGCAGTGGGGAAGAGCAGTGCGTGGGAAGAGAATGGGCTGTAGCGTCACCACACCGCCATGTGGTTTTGTGTTGGAGAGAACAGTTTATTCTTCTGAAGATCTGAGCTTCGACTATGCAAGTGAATTAACATAACGTTAACAAAACTTGTGAAATTCCTTGGACAGCCCACCAGGTCCTCCTGTCTGCAAGGGAGGTAGTTCTCATTTACTGGGTGTTGGAAAAGTCTGAAACTCTCAAAACTACACGGACATGATTTGATTAGGAATCATAATGTAACTGATGAATCTAAAATATGAAGTGTAGTAGGCAGGAACATGAAACCTTATTGAGGATTGACTTGGATCTGATTCATTTTAAAACCTGAATACAATGACACTACTGGTGACCAACCTGATCTCTTGTCCCAGTTACTTGTATAACTCTACTGGTGCTGCACAGGCCTGGTTTAACAAGACCATTAACATGGGTCTCCTGCTACTGTATATCTGTATCCAATTCCTGCTCTGATCCTCCTAGAAGACAATTTCTCCAATAGGTCCCAGGCAATAGGTCTATTCTCTAGGGTAATTCTTTACAAAACAAAACCATTCACATCTCTACTACAGTACATCAAAACTTTAGATTTCTGTTTACTTTTCAACAATCTACTTGAGAGACGTCAATGAGCCTGTGCAAGATCCCAGTTTATTAAAGTATTCATTATGCTCTGATTTAGTTTTTTTTTAATTCAGTACAATTTGTTAAACATTTATTTTGTCAGTTTTGCATATTGCTCACATCAACTTATGAAAATGACCTGCTGGTATAAAAGAGTACACAAACAAGTCACGTTGTAAAAATGTATCAACCAAATACCTTAGTAATTAAATAATATCCATTCATGTGTTGTTGGAAGTTCATGTGTTGTGTTAAGGGAGAGCTTAGTTAATTTTAAACCCTGGTATTTTGTGTTGAGGCCATTAATCCTCCTTATATGATGTAACAGTTTTAATTAGTATTGTACTGTATGAAGGTTGAGATAGGATCTCATATCCTGGATGCCAGAAGAACAACAGCAGGTGATGTAGACAGGAAATGAACACATTTGACCTCTCTAGTGGCTGAAACTCTGAATGTAGGTTGACATGAACAACATACAGCTTTATCTCTCATACAGAACACATACAGTAGATCAGATCATACTGTATATTCAAGACCATATTAGATTAAGTGCAAATAATAGAATAATAATTACATACGGTGTTTTGATGAAAGACTAGATGGAAACAGTCATTCCTCAGGAAGATGCCTTGATTATCAGTTCTCATAAAAAACTATGGCTAATTTTAATTTTGTTACATGAGAGACTAATGGCACAGTCAGGTATATTATTTTTGTGTGAACCCACTCATCATGAACATGGGTCATGATTAACTTGATCACAACATGTCTGTACGTGCAAAAGTACCAAACTAAGTTTATTTAGTTTTACAAACTTTGTGGAATGCTTTCCCTGAAATATACCTGTATCATTTTACATATGAAGTACAAATATTTTACTGAAAGAAGTATTTACTTTTTTGGGTATAAATGAACATCTTTTACTTACTCAAATGAGCCTCTAATATAAAATGAGTTTCCCCCACAAACACCATGAGATCTGTAAATGTTTCCTCATTTCATGCTCTTTAACTGTTCAATCATGGTGAATAAACATGTTTGAGTGGAAATGAAAATATCATATCAATGTGTTGTCATTTCATTAATACTGACTAATGTTCACACTTCCAAAACAATTTAACAATTGAGAATATTTACACAGATTATTTGGGAGGCTCATTATTCATTTAAATGCAGGTAACCAAAAACAAAAAAATGAGAATGTATTCTTCTTTTTTAATCTAACTAAAGAATTATAATTTCATCACATGATCTCAAATACAAACAACTTTTTTAGCAATGAGATCCCAGTCAGTTTAAGCCTTTACCTGCACTTATAGAGAAATCCTGTTCTCTCTCAATGCTGTGGAACTATGTGTCCAAGTGGCTGCCTTGCTTTCTCACTGCATGAGGACTGACCCTGAAACAACCCCATGCTTGGACCAGGTGCAGCCAATTAGCCATTGTATTGACACCTGAGAAGAATGACTGTGTCCTCAGCACTGGGTTCAGTGATTCCTCAAGGCAGCTTCTTTAGCAGCTTTGAAATGCAAAAATCCATCCTATTTTCTTTAATTGAGAGCTAAATGAAAAAAAATCGAATAACCAATAATGTAAGGAGAGTATATAGTATTTGTTTTGTGTGAAATACTCTTTAAAAAAATTCAGTTTTGACAAAGCTGCATCAGAAAGAGGCATGTAGCTCATCCTTAGGTGCAGAAGAGGGCGCCATTCTCTACTCGGGTCTTCCTCTCTGGTTTAGTCAGCCCAGGTTTACATTGGCAGTATCAAGCGAGCAATGGCTCTTTGGGAAGCCCTAATTCTAGACAGGCCATGTTCATTCCTGAAGGATTATTCATTTGCAGGTCAGGGAGAGGAGCTCTAATCTACATTTTGATTCAATAAGGGAGGAAGATATTAATAGCCTATTCAAAATGATCCCTTGGTTCCTGGCACTTTGACATTCACATTTCTGCACGAATGTGAAAATATTCCAAAAAAAATAGAACACGTCGTCCAATAACTCACAGGGGAATATTCTACGTTGATGTTTCCTGGGCTAAACATACTGTGTTTGTTTATCCCAGTAATATTGACACACGGCTGCACCACTAAGATTAAAGACAGCATGAATTCCAGTGGTGCAGGAGCTTGGAGTGCCATCACACAGCTACTGGGTGCTTGGTTCCTGACGGGGTCGCCTTCTTTAGCAGGAGAATTTTTTTTTTTGCCGGTTTAAAATTTACTTTATAGCCAATAGCGTAGTCAGGGGAAACTCCATTAATTGAACTGTACAAGACGGTAGAATTATCACGTCAGCTGATAGTGTTTCCCCTCTCAAAAACAGAAGGCAATGTTTGTTGAACAGGTCGTGTAAAACTTTAAGCATGCGTGTGCATACTGTATGTAGAGAGTAGAAAGAGACCTTAGGTCGATGAAAAGGTGTTTCTTCCAGCGTCAGATATTCTTTTGGTAAGGAGCTCATTGAAGGCTATTCTCACCAGTAGCCGGTGAACTCGTAGCTAAGTAGTGCAGTTAAAAGCTTTTAGATGTGTAACAGTGGGTGGAGCCGCGGTCAACGCCAGTAAAAGCCGACGCCCCGTTTGAGGGTGTGAGGTCTGCAAAACCCGAAAAGAAAAGGCACAGCGGTCTCCAGTCTGGACCATCGCTATTTAGCGGGGTCCAGACTGGAAGAAAAGGAGAGCGGGGCAAAAATAAATAAAAAAAAACTCAACCTGTACCCACTGCATCCTCGCAGCGGGATAGGAGGGGGGACTTTTTTTTTTAAAAAGCAAAAGCCTCGGCCTCAACGCTCCCTTCACAACCCCTCCCCCCAGGGACTGGAGCTGGAAGGTTCCCCTTTGCTGGGGGCTGCTCAGTGCGTCTTAAAGGGCCTCACAGGTGCAGCTCGTCCTTAATTAATTAGCCAGGGCAGCTGTGGTTGTCAAGACAACGCGTCGCCCTAAATTCAGCGCGCAGCTCAGTCAAACTCACACATGACGGAGGCCACAAACCAAGAGCTGGAACAGCCTCTGCTGCCGTCTTGCCACAGGACTGCTGGACCTGCAGTGGCAGGCGTTTAAGATTGCTATGCGTTTCAAGTGCAACAGTAATTAAAAGGCTGTAATACGCATCGTTTTAATTTTTATTGCAAAACGTGAAAGTCTTGATCTTGACATTCTTCTTCAGTGTTTCACCAAAGTGGTCTGTGTAAGAGTCCTCTTCATAGAGGAGCTTGCTGCTTCTTGTTCACTTCACCAAAGTGACCTGAAAGAGGCACATAATTAGAGCCTGCACAACCAAACACCTTGATCCACATACAACTCATTTAAAAGAAGGGACAGAATTTGAGCTTCTATAGACTGATGGTCTTTTGGAACTGTCATGTTTGCATTATATCTTATTTCACTTAAACCCTGGTATAACCTAGCAGGAGCTAGGTTGTGTGTTAAGATGTCTTGGTGTCTAGAATTGGTCTCTTTAGGTTTCCATTGTAGTTGAATTGTTTTGGTCAAAATATTTCAAATTAATATTGGCTCGGAGGGGGTTGTGTCTGACTCCTCTGTGACGCCCACTGTCATGTGCTGTACTATTTGACATGTGGAGAGTCTGCAGTGCCTCAGAAGATCTTCCAGTCTACCATCTAAAGCAGGAATGGTCCTGTGTGCTAAAAGGCAGCTAGCAAGCTGTAGAGGCGTCTGGTAGTACCAGGCTGAGGCTACTCAAGTGATTCAAGCAGAGAGACCTCACAGACATTTGACCAGAGTGGATCACTGCATATACAGCCCCGCTAATTGTCGGGAGTGAAGTGGTCAAAATCTATTCAAACAGCCTTTAGTATACGAGCTGATCAGAGCCATCTACCTGAACTCTTCACTGCTTCGTCTTCTCTGTTCCCTACTCAATTAGTCAAACTTGGCCTCAGGTGAAGATTAGGTGTATAAAAGATGCATGTCCATGATCTTAAAGGCCAATGACTCAGAATCACACATTTCAAAGAGAACACTTAACTTCCTTCTATTTTCATAGCTAAGGAAGTGTACATTACCACAAAAAAAAAAAACAATTGTGTATTGTGATATAGAAACGCAAACTTGGATATTATTTTACACTTCAGTGGATCTTCTTTCTTGTGATTTGCCTTACCTGAATGATATGCTGAAGCCCCTGTTGCTGACAGGCCCATCGGTATGGAACTCAATCACAAGAACAGGGCCAAAAGATTGGATGGGAGTAGGTGTACTGGAGCCACAGAGCTTTGGCCCAATAAAGCTTTTAAACGCGACATCGTATATCGAAATGTGGTCAGATGTGCAGCCCTCCGAGTCTTGTATGTCCATCGTCTCAAAGGATAATGAGATCTAGATTTCTAAATAAAAAGGAAAGGTCTTCTCATTTTTTGTGCTGCGAGTCTTACGTTCCCCCCCACAAGTACAGATATTTCACTGGAAAGAATCACATGCTTTTTTCAGGATGTGGAAAACGATAGTTAATCTTAAATATTAAAGTGGGTTAGGATGAAAGCACAATTAGTCCAGCAAGAGTCTAATAACCCCATTCCATGAAATTCTTACATGTACAACCTTAATAGTTTACCTGTTGAGCTTGAATAAATTGAAGTTTTGCCAGGTTTTATAAATGAAATGAAGACCAAATTGGCAGAATACATCAGGTTTTATTAACGGTATAAAGCTCGCAAATAAAAAGTAACACTCACCGGTGACTTTGCTTCTATGCGCCACAGGCAGTTTTTGTTGTTGGGGTACACATTAGGGTCGTTAGTGGAATAAATCTTCCCTGTGCCTTCTGATGAGACCCTGACAGTCATTCCACAACCTTAAAGTTCAAATGAACGAAGAACTAGAGTGGAGGCAGAACTGTATTGATTTAAAAACCTTGTTACCTAGCAGGTAAGTAATGCTGGGCTTCTGGGAAACAAGATGACTAGAAATAGAGCTCATTCAGCCTAACAAGATGGGACCAACAACAGGACTCCTCCTGAGGCAGGAGGGAGTAGTTGTCATAGTTGATGTCTGCGTCTTCGATTCTCCATCTAATCAAATGGAACAAAACAGTATTGATTGTACAGTAAACCACAGCCTGATTGCTCAGAAAAGACGTTTATGCCGATGTGGAAGAATCTCGGAGACTTGCAGGTCTAGGGCAGTATTAGTGTGGCAGGTCAAAGGCAGAGAAAGAGTACAGGATGAATCTGAACGAGGCTCACTGCAGTCGTAGAGTCTGTTGATCTTCAAGGTGTCGATGCCAGTCAGCCAGCTGTCCATTCCGATTTGTCTTGTGCTGTCAGGAAAGGGCACCAGTGTTTGCAGACCATGTGGTTTAGCAAAAGCATCCCTGCAAAGAAAGAGAAAAATCAGTTCTTCGTCTATACATTGATCACATTGTTTTCATTCTGACGTTCAGCTGAATGCATGAGGAAAAGGAAAAATCAATGATCAATACTAAAGCTAGTGGCAAATTAACCACATGCCTTTACAAGCAATATCCCAAAATAGGAACTGACAAGGTCATTCCAGAAAATTATCATTTATCTGATAGTTTTATACCTCTGAGCTTATTAAAAGAGGAGAGTAGACATCAGTAGGAGGTTCCTTCCCTTACTCAGTTTGTTGCAAGACTACAAGAAAGCTTTAACTGGAGCTGCATTATTAAATGAGAACAGAACTAGAGTCTGGGATACAGGCTATTTAAGAACATACAGCGGGGATGTGGATGGTGGACAGGATGTTAAAACTGCAAGAATATTCAATATCCTTTGTGTTGACTTACATTTCCATGGTACCCATGAAGATTCATAAGCACTTTATCCCAAGACAGCAATGACACACTTCCCACAATGAGAACAGATATAGCCACAGCCACAGCATTCCAATAAAAGGCAATTAGAGGTTACTGCACTAGATTCCAAATAGGCAAAAAGTCATTGCTGTCTGAATATGGAATGATTTATCACTTGCCATGTCCCCCCCCCACCCCCAATGTTGCAGTTATGCATTTCATACAGTATGTAAAACCTCCTTTCTGTTAAAGACAGTATTGTCATTACAGGGAAGATTACGAGGGACCTGATAGACATTCAGAAACCTCAAAGGAACCAGTGAAAAGCTTCTACAGTGCCGGAAGTCGTCACAAGTACACTTACACTTGAGAACAGACCTTCATGGTTTTGGATCACCGTCCTGCTCCCCAGTGAGTTCGGAGGCCTGCTTTTGGACCTGGGCAGACAAGACGCTCCTGTGTCTTTCAGGATTTCTTCTTCTGCTGCTGCTGCCATCCTCAGGGACACCACCGACAGAGACCAGTAAGCCAGTTCCAGAGGCTCAGGCCACGACTCTCCCTCCCTCCTGCTTCACACATGGGCTCAGGCTCACTTGCACTTCCTCCACATTTTTAACTTCCCATCAGTTTGATCCAGGTTTTTCCTTTTCGTCTGTCCTTAAGACCTTACAGAAGAGTTACACTTCCCAGCAAATTCTAATCTGGTCATTTAGTTTTTAGTGCTGATATGTGACTTGTATCTCGCAGTGCATGGTGATTTGAGATACTTTCACCCCTGACTCCTGGAGATTGTCTACAACCTCTTTGCCTGTTATTTTAGTGTTTTTTTCTTCATAGTTCTAGTGAAGATTCTGTCATCAACTGCTGTCGTCTTCCTTGGATGAACTGCTCTTTATCAATTGCTTATTGCTCCAGTAGGTTTTCTTTTTCAAGATGGTTTGTACTATTGATTTCACAATGTCCAGTCTTTCAGCAGTGGTTCTAACTGGAATCCTCTTTGCATCTTCTAGCTTTTTCCACCATTGACAACTCATTATTTAACATCTTGCCTTACCCCTAAACTCAAGAAGCAGATTAAAAAAAAAAAGCTCCAAACCTTGGAATCAAGGCTATATACTCACAGCTCTTGCACTTTTTTTCAATTAATGCAATATTGAACACCTGAGCAAATAGAACAGCTGACAGCCATTTGTCCCAGTAATTATGCTCACCTGATTGAACACAACAAATGACATTGTTCTAACATGGATTAACATGTATACAAAATAATACCTAGAACTAAAATTATGTTCCTTTCACTTACATTGATCTTAAATACAAATTTCATTGGTATACAGCAAAAATGTCAAATTTCACCTCACTGTCACAATATTTTTACTTTTCACTGTATGTTTTTTTTACCTTGTTTAGAAGAAGCAGTGAAGGCATTTTAGTAAAATAATCAGTGTCTAAAAGATTGTGATGCAAATGTGAACAAAATGGTCCCATTTTCTGCTTCATCTTTATGTTCTTTATTGCCATGTGAGAGAGGGAGCTTCCTGAGGGGTTTTGAGTCTGTTTATAGTATCTGCTGTATCTGTATCTAATCATCTGAATTAGAAACTTTTAATGCTCACACCTTTCCTGTGCTGTTTGACCTCCAATACATATTGCCTTGGCAGCAGTAAGAATACAAGATGGACATAAATTCACTCATTGTACTGCATTAGTGCAGGACAGTGGAACCTGTTTAAAAAAGTCAAAAGCTTCAGCGGGCGTGACCAGTCCTGAGGTAATCAGGACATTCCAGTAACAGCACATGATGCAGCTTTGAGATACAGCAGAATGCATAGCCTGAGTGAAGGGCTGTGGTCACTATCTGTGTAAATTGACCTTTATTGAAAAGTAGTTTCGAAACATTGACCTGCAGATAAGGTGTTGAGGCCATTATTCCTCTTGTCTAGAAGACCAATTGGGCTATCATTACTGTAGCTGATTAATTACAGTTTGCTCATGTACAGAGCTCAAAGAACAATCTCCCAGACTGCTCTCAGTTTTATGTCTTGGAACCCTCACACCTGCTGATTTCTATTCCTGATTATATATAATTAGACTAATCTAGCTATCTAATATCTAATTAGCACTTTGAGAAGCCACCTTTAAAGGCACTATATAAAATAACGTTCATTATCATTAATAATGTTAATGATTAATTGTATGATAATTAATATAATTAATAATTAATATAATTAGTTATTATAATTAATAATTATTAATAAACCGTGACATTGTGTGACCCTACTGCGGTTCTCCCGACATTTCTAATATGAAAGAAAATTCCATGAAGACCAGATTACAGTGTGCTGCTGTGGTGAAGTGGACAGGACCTTCACACCTAAACCTCTGATCTGCTGGTCGGCTGGTTAGTTACATAATGAGGCTCAAACTGTTGTGAAAAGCCTTCAAAAATATAAAGAAGCATTTTATACTGCCATCCCTTTCAGTTCCCACTTACTAGAGAGCTGGGACTCTTTCTTGTGTTCTGTGTGCGAGTGAAACAGACTTAAATAGAGTTGTACGGGAGACCGTGTCTGTATCTGGCCAGAGGAAGCTTGTGTAGCTGCAATTGTAGAGCACTGGTCTGGTTCTGCTCTGGACACGAGGCCTCTCATATGGGCCTTTGTGCTTTCTCTGCATCTAATTTCTTTTCTGATCCAAACAAGCTTGAGCTGCACAGTCACAGCTGTTTCTTTAAGGGGAGAGGTCTGTTGAGACAGACTGGCCAGTTGTCCCAGGTTCGAGAGTATTCACAATCCTTCTGGTGCCTGTCGCCAATAATCCTCTACTGCAAGCCCAATACACGAGAGCCTACTCCGTTCATGGAATCAGATGCAGAATGTGTTTCCATTTGAAAACGCCTACAATTGGAAACCAGATAGAAGTATCCAAGTATCACAAGACAGACGCAGCTTTGCTACATTATTGTGTACGTTTTATTCCTCAAACTTTAAATACCAGATTCAGATCAGTAGTCAGAAACCTCATATCCTTTTTTAGACTGGCTTTCACGAGCTGTATCACAGACAATATCGTGAAGCCAGTTCTGTCCTTCAGAAGTGAGGAGTCACTCTTTCTCAGCTCCACACCTTATATTTCAATCACCTCACCCAGAGGCCCTTGTATTTCTACAGCCTTTACTTCTCGCCTCGCTGCTGCATTGATTTCACTTTCCTGCGATCTCACATTTATATCACTGATGGCCCTCTCAAGACCGCTGTTGAGAATATACTGAAAAGTCTCAGAAAGCATTCTCATATTTTTGCTTGGTGTTGAAGAAAATACTCAAATCTGTTCAGTTATTGCCTGTATGGCATTCTGGGTTTTACCTAGCTCCTTCATACACACACACGCTGACCATCGCATTAATTTAATTTCCACCACTTCAAAGGTAACGATTAAACATTAAATTCCACGATCTTATTATCCTTTGCCTCACCCTGTATTATTAATAAATATCAGTGCTCTTCAGATGCCTGAAATTGATATTCCAGTTCACGTCTCGCACTCTTCAGTAGTGTCACATTTCATGTAGGAGGCGCAGTGGCTAGTATTGCTAACCGTGTCACCCAGAGTAGGAAATGAGCTGTAAAATACGGTGAATGTATCTAAATATCACACAGATCATATCAGTACGCTGTAGATGAAAAATAATGTTCTTTGAAAGAAAATATATTAAAATGCGAGCCTACTTTAGATAGATGGGAAGGCTTTATAAATTGGATAAACAAAATTATTTTACATATATTGTTAAAAAAAAGGTGAAATAGGTTAAAAAGGCAGAAATATCAATGCTGCACTATTTGGCTAGGTCAATTGCCTACGCAGTTTTGTATGTGGTCTATTTTTACATGTTGCCTGCAGTAAAAATAAATAATAGGTTTATTCACACTTGAAGAAGGCTCCACGGCCGAAAAGTTGTGTTCTCTTTCTTCTTTTTTTTCAGCATGGAATAAACCTATTACTTGTTCCTTTGCAGCCTACGCATGCTGACGCAGCCACCCACCTGAACTACTACCGTAAAAATAAATAATGTGTATATATTATAGATAAGCATATACACAATGTCTTTATTTTTTCTCATAGATAATACCTTGGTCCAGGCTCCCGCAATGCTCAGCTCTAACACAGTTTCCAAAATGCCATTTTGACTGTCAATGTCTACTTAAATCAGGTACTCCTACATTTTGAATCCACTGTTGAAAGCCGAGCTGTTGAGTGAGGTCCGTGAAGTTTTCCTCTTACTGGCAGCCGAAACGGTGAAACCCGCCACATCGTGCCGGGTTGAACAGTTGAACGTACTGTACTGTAGCTTCCCAGCTGCTCCTGTTCCCGAGATATAGTGCCGATTTAGTTTTCGGGTAATCACGTGACCATATATATATATAGCGCCTTTGACCGCTTGTCATCCCGTGCGGAAAGTTCAAGCACTCTTTTGCTGCTGCAAGGATAAGTATGTACAATTTTGTTTCTCTGTTTGCCCGGGAGCTGCGGTTGATTTTGCATTTAATACCCGCGTTCTCTGTGCGTTTGTGTGAACAGGAAAATTAAGCTGGTCTCCAACATCACACCGTAATCTCAAGAGTTGCAGGTTTAGCTTTAGAATAGGAAGATTAGCAAACAATTGCAAGTTTTCAAAAGAGACTTTAGCACATTTTAACACTTTGCAGCCGTGTCAACATTTTTTTTTAATCTGAAGAAGTAATGAGTTTCTTTTTGTGTCCGCTTTAAAATGTGCAAATCAAGGGACTTAAAAAAAATCAGCCAGTCTTTCGAGCTACGTACAGTATTTAAAAATATTAGAATTAGCAACTTCTTGTAGTACATTTTTGTGTTATCTATTTTATGCTAAACAAATTCGGAAACGTGAAAAAGAACCAGGATTTGTTTTTTTAAGGGGCGCTGTGTACTAATTTGATCTACGTAGTTCATAACACACCTGCAAAACAACATTGGAAACTCTTGCTCTCACAAATGCAGACCTCGGAAGTATTTTCTTTTATTCGTGAAATTATTGAACATATATCTAGGTTTTTAAAACGTCATTATCCATATCTTTGTATTGAAGTATTGATGAAGTAAACTTACTAAAACTTTAATTGAATATTTACGATTTGTTTTCAATTCAAAATACTTTATTCATCCTCAGGGATTCAGATCATCAATAGTAAAAGGTTAGAAATTAGCGTCAAAAAACAATCACAGAATTCCTGTCTTTTAAGTTTAGATCAAGCATTAAGAATTATATTGTTAGTTTTGAAAGTCAATCTCATCTGTGATTACTTTTCACTGTATAATCTATTTACAATGTAGAACAATATTGAATTTTAATGACTTTTTAAATTAATCTAAATAAATACCTAAATACCTGCCGCACACTGTTTCCACTAGTTCACTGCCAGACGACTGTTTTTCATAGACAACATTTTTACTACCTGCAGTCTTCTATGTATCTCATAGTATATTAAATAATAGCATTTCTAATATAATAAGGAGCGATGTGATGCCCCATTGATTGCAAAACTAGGTATTACATCCTCATTACTATTCTGTTTTCTATGCATACACCAGTTCACATTCTATTTATATGCATTGCTTTTCATTTTCACATTTTTAATCTGAAGGATTACATTTCTGTGTGAACCTTGCCGAACGAATGACCACTATATTTCGTAAAATAAGAGATGTACATGGCCGGTATTCTGCGTGGCCGGCCTGGTGGCTCAGCGGGCTGACCCATCGGACACTTCTTAAGTTCAGAGAGCAGATCGACTCCCGGAGAGTCGTGTGAGTTGAAGTCGAGCCCCGAGCCTCCCCGTCAGTTTGAGACCTAATCCCCGGACTGAGACCTAATCCCAGGGTGAAGCTCTCATGCTGTCGGGGTGAGTTTGTGCAAGTGGCTGTTCTCTACCACGCCGGCCGTTTTGGGGGGCTCCATTTTCGGGGCCTTCCAAAACAGGGAAAATGGGGGGGTTTAAGTCCTTTATAAATGCATAGATCGGAATTCAATTCGAAAAAGCAGCCCCTTATACCACTGTGACACCTGCAGGATGGGTGTGGCACTGGCAGTGAAAGAGAGGTGCAGTCCTAACTAGGAGCGACAGGGGTCTCTCTCCAGCACATTTCTCTTGATTCGACCAGCTGGCCGCAAGCTAAACGAGTCCAGCGAACAGTTTCGTAGGAGAATGTCACTGTGTTAGGTTGTCTGAAAATTCTTGGCCGTTATATACTTTATGTATGATTTGGTGAGTTCAAGTTTCTTTTTATCTTCAGTAGCGTGAGTGTTGAGTCCTTGTAACCGAGCGCACAGCTGTCATTCAGGAGCCGAGCCCGCCCCCAGAGTGACCTTCCTCAGCGGACACGCCCCGTCCACCTGTTCCACAGGTGCGCCCGGCAAGATGGCAGCGGGGAGAGTTTCTGTGGCGTGAGGTCCGTTTGCGTTTAATGTCGCATTTTCTTATTTTAAATACAAAAACTCAAATTTCACTTTGTGGAAGGCTTGATAAAATGTATTGCCCTTGCATCATTTGTTAATTGCATTTGTTTTTGTTTAATTTGTGTTTTAGGACGCCGAAATGAGTGTCCTGTCCGTTTGGGCGTGCTCTCGAAGTTTTAAAAGTCTGCATTCAGCGTTCTTATACTACCTTTCATGTAAGTATGTTTTGTAAGACAATGTCTGTTTCTTTTAACGAAAACCCTTCAAATATTTGCTTTCTCGAGTCAGTGGCTGTGAAATCTCCGCCTTTTGGCTTCGGGCTATAATAACGCTTTCCACTCCGAAATGATAAAATATTGTAAAGGTTTAATTGACTAATTCCTATGTTTTTTATTTCTCCAGGTGATAAAAGGATTTCAGGACCGGGGCTTCAGTTATGAAAAATTGTTTTTTCCAAGGTAAGTTCTATTCCTGCTTTGCACTCTACTATTTAAATAGTATATAAAAGACAATGCGTATTTCCAACATTTTAACACCAGAACGGGTTTATACTAACTATAGAACTTATTTTTGTTTTGTTGTGTTTTTGTTGAATAGAAAAAGAAACTCTAAGGCACTGGTTCTTATTTATGATACTTTTATTCATTTATTGAATACATTGGGTAAAGATGGATAATACCAACACATTTTATCGATGGTTTTCAAAGCAGAGTTTATTTGAATATTATACACGCGGTGTTACCTGGTCTTGTATTGACAAGTAGCATCGAATTTCAATGTGGCTGAACGTGTTTTCTAAGTAACGAAAAAGAAGAACTGAGATGTATTGGTGATTTCAATTTGTGTGTTTTTATACATCTTTATTCCCGCATTTAATTTAAACAGTTAATAGTCTTCAGAACGTCAAGTGAATCGATTCTACAAGTCCGATATCCCGTTAACTTGCTCCTTTTTCTTTTGCCTTCAGTTCTGCGGCTCCTGGTTCTCTGCGCTCCGGCGATCTCCTTTCCAGCTCCACTCCAGCAACTCGACGAGCGTTGGCCAAGTTCTTCTCGACAATGTGTGCTTTTTGTTACATTTGATTTCTGTTACCAGTGGCTTGATCTGTAATGTCCTGATTCAGTGCTGTATTTTATTCTTGACCTGCATGTTTTCTGTTGACTGCTGCTATTGTAT